ACGGAGGCTAGACCGTCCCATTTCACAAGCCTCGCACTTCCGGCCTTAGCGGTCTTTGAGTACGCGACCCTTGTGGACCGTCAAGGCTGCAGACCCTGAATTGGGATACAGCCAGAGTCATCTTTTGGTGTGGATGTTCCGGTGAAAGCCGATGCCCCATGTGTGATTATTCCTCCGTCTAGATAATAAGTATCCTCAATATTCATGCAGATTCTGCTGGAAGACCCGTCTCTGCTAACACTTTTCTTCGCTCAAAATAAATTTCTCCTGAAAATGCAAGACTTGCACCTGCAAACTTTTTTTTTTACGTGCGCTCAGAATAGTGGCACAAAAATAACGCCATAGAAAAACGACACATCCGGGGATTCTGAGCGTACTCGGGCGGCGACTGATGACGTTGACTGATCGGGATTGGGCTGTGGGTTTGTTACAGTTGTCGGCTTTTCTAACTTCGACGAAACACCAGCTGACGTGAGCTGGTGGTTGGTGGTAAATTGTTTTTGTTTAGGTGTTTTTGTTGTTGTGTTTTGCTTAGTTTAGTTAATCTGAAAAAGGTTGATGTAACTTCAGAGGAAGAAGAGTTTGTTCAGGAAGTTTCGCATTCATTAAACTTCTCTTCAAACCATGGCGTGCGCGGTGATGTCAGGTAAGCTTGCCTTACCGGCAGATTACTTCTTGTGTCATTGTTGCTTTTTACTTCGCCTGCAGTGTAACTACGGAGAACACGTTTGTGGCTGAGCTGTTTTGTTTTTGCTCTTCCACAGATGAGAGAATCGGGGAAGCCCTGATCAAAGAGTGAGTTCCGTTCTTTCATCGTTGCTCTTTCACAGTCGCTTTGCTTTTCAACCACCTACCACAAAGTGGTCAGTAATGTTTTACAATAAATCTTTTTTGGATCCTTAAGTTGTTGAAGCGCAGTAAAAAATGATTACGACTTTTGGGTTACACTGCTTTTCTTAGTAACTAAGGAAAATTATGTCTTTCATCATTAAACCTCTTGGATATAGAATTATTCAGTCATTAGATATTTTTAAAACATATTTATTCCTGTGTTAGTGAATACCTAGTAGCTCATGTGCAGATATTGTATTTATTAACACAAAATAATACGTTTTAACCCTGTTCAAGTCTTTATGTGAATTAAGTTTCATTTTCATCTTACAGGAACTGCAGTTATCTTTTCACCGTAAACTGCACCAGTCATAAAAAACTGTGTGTCATAGAATTATTGGCCTTTTTCTACAGGCTAAATATAGATGTCAAATCTCTTAATATATGTAATATAATTTTTAGTATGTGTTGATGCACGCTCAATCATCCAGGTACGTAAATCCCAAAAGGTTGATTCTGTTCATCTGGACGTTTTCAGTGGGACAAATGTTTCTCATCCAGGTGACTTCTTCAGTCTGCAGGTTTCCTGGTCCAGATGAACAGAATCAAACTTTTGGGATCATTTGTAGTAATTGTACGGTACTTCATATTCCATCCTGACACATATACGATCCTCAAATCAGTTATTTATTGTTTAGAAAATCTTTAGGAATAGCTTTAAAAAACACTCTTTGTGTGAACTAACACCAGGGTTTGACTACACAACGAATTTATGTTGATGAGGCTGACATGCCAACTGCAGCCTCCCTGGTGTTTGGACATTTTCCTGCATTAGATACATTTGGGAACATTGATCCTATGCCGTTTTCCTGCATCTGAGTGCTAATCCTAAAAAGCCTTTGCTCCAGGGCTGTTTCTTATATCAAACGCATGTTGATCTTCATTCATGCTCCTGTCTTTAATCTGAATGGCCTCGCTGTTTCATGAAACACTTTCACACCTATATTGGTTTATATATAATCAGAATGTTGGTTCTTACTGACAACTGGCTGCATCTT